GGGCGGATTATAGATCATTCCGGACTATGGGTGTCCAAATTAACGACTTTTGACTGTAATTGTTTTACTACAGCAGCCATATTTTTTTGCGTTTGAAACTTAGCAGAATAGTGGATTTGTTGCCAATCTAGAGAAACTAAGCTTCGCAGAAAGAAAAATAACATAGTCTTTTAATACTGCAAATTAAATCATGCTTAATCCATACTGGAATTATTGTTTAAGTTATTAAATTACACCATATATTGACTCAGCATAGCATCCACAACAAATTAAATCAGTTTCTTCACTTTAAGTGTCTTTTTACAGAGTGGAACCGAAAGGAAACTTTTACTTTTGTGCACCGAAAAATCTGCTTTTTTGCCTGCTGGTCAAATTGCTTGCTTTTGAGCAGAAACTCTAATTTTAATTGTAAAAATTGATTTAACTGCATTTGGTGTTTTATGTTTTTCTACATCTTTCAATTTTTAATGAAGATATTTTGAATTTTTATGTATTTTTGCCTTGCTGCGAAATGATAATTGAATTAATTGAACGAGAAATATACCTTTAACGACGTTTGAGAAAATAAGGGTTTCCTATTAGCAGCAAATATTGTTGTCAGTCTGACTTGGACAGAGAAGAACATTTACGAGTAGCACATGAGTATTAAGTTAATGGCATTGAATCGTCTGTGAAAAACTCTTTTTTTATTTGTTCAATTTCTTTTATACATCGTTTTATATTTATTATAGTATTTGAATAGAACATGTGGCAATGATTAGATAATTCTTCAGATCATATGATTTTTGTGCATTCTGGGTTATAAAATGAATGAAATAAATGTAATTCTATTAAATGAATCTAGCACAAGACTGTCGCTATGGTAAACAAATATAGTGAATTTTAAAGATATCTCTATGTATTGGCATTTATTCTATTGTGGTTTATGTGCTATTGATGAAGTAGAATTCAATAAGTTTAAATGAAATGCAGGAAAAAAAAATGTGTATAATTTAATGTTTCTTACAAGGAAGTCATGTGGTGTACACATCAGATTTGTTACACAGATATAAGTAGAAGCAAACTGACTTATAATTCCACATTGCATAGTTCATTATATTCCATTTTCACTGATTACGAGATCCAGAAATTAACCATATGTTCTGCCTAGAATTTTACTTTAAGTCTAATGTCACTGAAGTTCAATAACTGTTCCCTTTCATTCAATGAGTTTGTTAGTTTCAAAATCACAGTGGAAAGGATGAAAATTCGTTATTATTTACCACTTGAAAATAAATTTCAAATTGTAACATCAGAGTTTCAAGATTAATTCTTTTCCAATAATTATAATGGGCACTGAGAACAGTCAAAGAATTGTTAACCTGGTAGATACAGATATAGTTTATTCAGCTTTCAGAATTTGAGTGCACTAAGTCATCAGCAAAAAATGATGCAAAATCTTGTTAATTTCATTAAAAAATAACAAGACATATTTGTAAATCTAGAAGAACCACAATGGCAGGCTTCAAGAACCATTTGTTATCCATAAACCATAGTTTGAGAAAAACTAATTTACAGCATCCAATTAATAATCATCCAGACGTTTAGCATACCACTGTAAGACTGTCTGTTTGCTTAGTCTACTTCTGATAAATTTCAGGAGTTATTAGCAGATATAAAAAAGTTTTCATTCTGAAAGAAGTCTATTAATCCTTAATTAACAAGGATGAAAGATCATAAAATCATAATTATATTTAACACATATGAAAAAATAAATGAAAATTTGATCAAAAAGTAGAGAAATTAGTTCTTAAAATATGTAATACAAACAAAGCTTTGACATGAAAAATTATATTTACCTGCATAATAGCAAAGCATAAAATGTGTTAGTCAATCTAGATGAATTTTAAACTGAACAAACTCAATAAAAATAATTAGAAAAAACTTCTATTGTAACACGAAATATGAAGCAGTAAAAATGTATAATTTGAAAAACAAGAATAAACATCAAATTACCTGAATGAAGAATCCAGAAACATGGCTAATTTGAATGAAGTGTTAATTCGCTTGAATTCAACATATGGAATAAGTTGAAGTGTTAAAAAGCAAAATAATTAAACTAAAATCTTAAACTGCAGTGCTAAAAACCAGGACCGATCTCCTGATGATAATGATGATGATGCAAGGGAAGTTGTAAATTTATTTTCATTTTTTGGCATATTTTGCTGTGTCCCTATTTATTGCAGTCTGCCACTGCACTTCTTTTTAAGCTTTTGTGTGTGATTTATTCCGAATTGAATATTTAATGAATTTTATATGTATTTTTTATTTCATTTTGTGTGTGTATGTTTGTATATACGAGGGCTATCCAGAAAGTAGATTACGTTTTGGAATAAAAAAATAAACAAAGTATAGGAAACAAATTTTATTATATACAGATGAAAGCCACACTCAAATACTACTTTTCTACATAGTCACCATACAAATTAAGGCATTTATCGTAGCGATGTACGAGCTTGGAAATTCCTTCGTCGAAAAATTCGGCCGCCTGCGCCTTCAACCACTTCGTTACCTCTTCTTGCCTTCCATCTTGCACAAAACTTGTGGTAACCAAGCTTTTCGCGGATGATTTCGTGCAACAAACTTCGCGAAATTTGTGGAAAACTCAAAGAAAGTTCCGTTATTGTGAAATTTCGATTTTCACGGACTTTAGCATCGACTTTTTCGAGAAGTTCGGCGGTCACTATGCTGGGTCTCCCACTTCGATCTTCGTCGTGAACATTGGTTCGGCCATTTTGAAATCTTATGACCCAGACCCACTGACGCACTCCACCTTCAGTGATAATGTTGTCCCCATACACTTCACGAAGCTGCCGATAGATTTCTATCGGTTTACAGTTTTTTGCAGTCAGAAACCTTATTACTGAGCGCACCTCGCAGCTCGCGGGATTTTCAATTACGCAGACATTTCAAACCGTCACAGTATCTGAACAGAGCACAGCACGAACCTCTCACTAGCACGGCTAGATGCAGACTGAGCTGCGCAACGCTCTGATCCCAAGATGGCCGCGCTAGCCCCGCCCCTAGCGGACACAGACGGAAACGTAATCTACTTCCTGGATGGCCCTCGTATATATATATATATGAAAACTAGAAGTTGATACATAAAAAATCAGAAGAAATGTGTTTACTAAAAACAATATTTGGTATTTACGTTTAAACTGCCATGCTTTCTATTAATTTATTAAACTTTACCTGGTTTCTGAGAACAAATGTTCATCAGAAAATAATAATAATAAATAAAATTATAATCATATATGCAAAGGATCAAACAAACAGAGAACTGTCACTTACATTAATACTTTCAACAATATGAGCTCAAGCTCATTCGTAAAAATGTAGAAGACAAGTAGGTCAGCTTGAAATTTAAATTTAGATAAAATTCAATGTTGTGGGAACATTGAATTTTCATTTATATATTTAAATCCTTAACAAAATTATCCTTTTCCCTCAATCACAGAACAAAATACATCTCTATGTAAAGGTGGTGTCCAATTCTTCAAGCAAATTTAGGAATAATCAATGTTGCAATGATCCTCAAACAATCTGAGTTAACACTTTTTAAAACAATATTCATAACACTGTGAATATTTCAACAGTTGTGCATAAAAACTGTGTTGATGAAACAAACAATGATACCTTCAAACTGGGGAAGGATGATAAAATTCATTAGAACACAATGCTTGCATGCCAGTATTTTTCCCATGACCACAGATGGCTATTTGTTACAACTGCAGGAAGTTCTTTTTATCAGAATACATATTCTGTAAAGCATTTTATCAGAATACATATTCTGCAAAGTTACTTCACACATATTACCAAACACATTCTTTTGGATAATTAATTTACTAAGAGAATCAAGTATTACTAAATTATCAAATATTCTTATAACATCAGAAGTTGAATGCCATTTGTACCAATCAACCACATTCAGTAAATAACAGTGAAAAATAAGCACAACTAGTCAGCTATCTGATAACAGTATGTCTTGATTTTGACTAGTTCAGTTAATCACCGATTTTTCATGGTAAGGGTACAAATTAAAACTCTTTTTTACTAGAAAATCAGCTCAATATTAATAAAGTCCAACTTTTGACACAAATTCAAATCTTAATAACTATTCATTTGCTTAGTCCCATGCTAAAATGCAACTGTCACAAATGCAATTGTCACAGAGAATCACAAATACATGCTAGCCATACTTACCACTAACCAGAATGACACATGCACATAACCAAAAAGATCAGACAGACAATTGTAACAGCAATATTCTTAATTTAAATTTTTGTACTATAAGATTTAAGTCATGTTTTTCCCATTTTAAAAAAAAAAGTTGTTAGGACACATCAGTGGGCTTCCTCTTCACATACGCTTCTAGCAGAACATCAGTGTACTGTCAATTAATTTAATATACTGTGAAGAGCACATAACTTAATCTACTCACATAATTCACAGCTGGATGACAACTTTAATGGTAGTGAGATTTTAAAAAATCATATTTTTTAATCTACTAATATGTTAAGTGAAACACTGTTTGTAGAAATAACGGTAGAATACAAGTAAATAATCAAAAGATGTTAAAACTCGAACTGGCATTTACTAAAATTAAAAAAAAAAAAAAAAAAATTCAAGCCCAAATGTTTTTTAAAAATTTCCAGAGTAGTACATAAAGACAACAAGCACATAAAAGGTGTACCCCAGAAGTCATGAAATATATATTATATATAGAGAGAGATAGAGTAAAACTATTTTACAAAAAAAAAAATACTGATAAAAAGAGTAATACTATTTTACAAAATTTTTTACAGCAACAAAATTATACATAATTGTGTTCAACAAAAGAGAGCAAGCAATATTAATTTACACAAATTTTCTAAAGCAACAAAAATATTTATTACGATTACACTTGATGAAAGACAAAAAGAGCAATTTTTTAAGCAACAAAACACAATGCCACATACTTTCTAATTACATCAGCAGCATTAGCCCAGGCTTCAAGTGCACCTTTATAACGTCCATTCCGGTAGAGGTACCCTCCAAGGTATGTATATGGATAAACATGCATATTGCAATAATAACTTTGAGCAGCTAATATAGACTCTCGAAAGAGTTCTATAGGTGGAGGACGACCAGGACTAGGAGATATCTCTTCCAAATCACCAAGATTTCCCAAAGCCATTGGGTAAGTTTTTAAATGGTTTAAATCATACAAGAGCCATAGAAGTTGCTAAAATGATAATAAAATTATTATTATTTGTACTTATCTACTTTCTTCATATCACATAAGTACTTTTGACCCCTGAAAATGGAAAATAAGAAGTAATGAATAAAAAACTTCCTTGATAATAAACAAAAATTCAACAATACCAAATTTAAATAGCAAGAGAAACATGCCAATGTAAAATTTTAAATTATGTAAAGCGGCAATCTTATTTTGATGTATTTTATAAATTAATCAATTTTGAGGATGATAAGACAAAGGTTCTTCTCATCAGGAGTAAAAAAAAAAATGCAGCAGGAACAAGAAAAATACACAAGATCACAATACAGACACACCCACGGTCCAAACAGATAGACATCTCATGCTCAAGGCCCATAGGGTTTGTACATTTATATCATGCATCCTAGCTCAGGAATTATTTTGCTCCTGAAAAAGAGGGAGTGTATGATCACCCTCAAATTCAATTTAAAACAAAATAAGATCACTGTTTTGTCTAAATTTAAACACCATTTTTTTTTTATGCTACCCTCTTTTCAAAGACATTTCTGCACAGTAGAATTTTATATAAATCATACATGTAACACATTATTTTAAGTGAACAGAACTTAGCGATAACCCAAGGGGCACCCTTTAAAATATACTCTTACCTGAAAGAGATATATTTGTAACCTTTTTAAAATTAGCATGACAATGTTGTTATAACTAAAACTCTGAATTTAGGATACCGGCTTTAAAGTGGCATCTGCTAGCAATACAGAAATTTAAATATATTAACTCATCTTTTGGCTCTAAAAGTTTTATGAAGATCACTAAATCCTAGTATCACCTTGAGGGAGATGCACTTTTTCAGTATAATGCAAATAGCCTTAGAACACAGGTTCACTTCTTGCACCATTTTTTGTATTATACAACACATTATTCATTAAACCAGCCATACAATGCAAGAAACATCTATGGGATCTACAAGGATCATCTACAAGGATGTCAAACTCGCGGCCCACAACAAATATTTTTGCGGCCCGGCCAATATATCGGCAAATAATAATATATAATAATAAAATAATATATCGACAAAGAAAAAAATTAAATGTTTACTGCTAAGCAATTAACGATAATTTATTCAGTGTTGTTAGACTACTCACAGCGAGCTGACACACACACTACTTAAATTACAAATATGTGTGAGTAGCTTGCGTTCAGCTACCTTCGGCTTTTGGGGGACACGTGCACTCAGAACTTGTACGCATCTCCCGATAGCCGAATGTGGCTGAACTCATGGTCTCAGTTTTCCAATCATAGTTTTGTACGATATATTGGTGCACGCATGTGCATGCACTTTGCTTTATTATTAATTATTACTTAATTCATATTGTTACGGATTTCATAGTTATTTATTTAGTTAGTTTTTTTTTATTTAGAATTGTAATTAGATTTGCTTCATGTTGCCTTAGCAACGCAGACGATTTTCGAAAAGACAGCTGCGTTGGAAGGTAAAAAATAGAACAGTGCATGCATTTAATACCTAATAAATAAATATCTCGTAATTGCTGTCCACAAAAATCCAGATATTATAGATGTTTCCAGTATATTCGAGAAATTAATTATAAAGCTTTTAAAAGCCGAGAACAAACAACTCATCTCGGTAGTAGCTGTAGTTCTAGCGAACTGTTTGTTTACTTAATGCTGTGATTGATTTGTAGCGATTTCACTGTGAGAGAGAATTAGTTTCTCTGTTTTGAATTGATTTTTGCTAAACGTTTGACATTTTGTGATATTGTTAGAATATTTTTAAAGAAATATTTCAGCATTTTGATTTATCTCTTGTGGAAAGAATAAATGTTTGTTAACTTTTTAACGTTAACCATGTTTATTCCAGCCCTTTGTATTCAGTATGTCTATATAAAACCAAGTGGTAGTAAAATTAAACGAAAAATCGCTGACACACAGAATAAGAAAATATTCTCTGAAATAAAAGATAAATAATCTTGATATGTAATAATACTATTAATGTACCAAAGTTATATAATATTAACAATATAACAATTACGAAGGATTAATGAGAGAAGAAAAGTTGAAAGAGCTCAAGTTAGGAGTGAAAAAGCAACAGTCCATGTTTAGTAAAGTATTGCCAGAAAGTGAAGCGGCGGTACATGCAAGCTACGTCTTGTCCTAGTTGATAGCTAAACATTCGAAGCCTTTTACTGACGGTGATTTCATCAAGGAATGCCTAATGAAAGCTGGAGAAATTGTTTGTCCTGGAAATGTGAAGGCTTTTCAATCAATTTCATTGTCTCGAAATACAGTTGCAGAAAGAGTTACTGATTTAGCCGTGAATTTAAGTGATCAGATCAAAGCAAAATCATCTAATTTCGAAAGTTTCTCGATTGCCTGTGACGAGAGCATGGACATTAGTGGCAAAGCTCAATTAGCAGTGTTTCTTCGTTCTTGTCACAAGAATTTTAACATTTTTGAGGAATTACTGGAACTTATACCGATGCCTGGTACTACCACAGGAGAAGATATATTTACTTGTGTTTTTGGACTTCTGCAGAAATACAATCTACCTTTGGCAAAATTAAATTCTGTAGCTACAGATGGCGCTCCATCAATGACCGGGAAAAACAACGGCTTTGTAGCATTACTAAGAAAAAAACTTAGTGAAATTCACGGTTCAAACATTCATCATATGCATTATATTATACATCAAGAATTCTATGGACGAAAGTAATAAATATGGAGAATGTTTTGTCATATATAAAAAAAAGTTATAAATTTTATAAGATCTCGAGGTTTAAATCAGCGTCAATTCACTGCTTTCTTAAGTGAGTTAGATAGTGAATATTCGGGTTTGTCCTACTATACCGAGGTACGTTGGTTATCTTGCTCCAAGATTCTCAAACAATTCTGGGATTTGAAAGAAGAAATATGTCAGTTTTTAAAAACGAAAAATCAAGACGTAAGTTTGTTTTACGATCCAATATGGATACAAGATTTATCTTTCTTGGTTGATATAACCAAACACTTAACCGATTTAAATTTATCGTTACAAGGAAAAGATCATATCATTACGAACATGTTTGACATAATTAAAGCATTCAAATGTCAACTAGTTCTTTGGGAAAAACAACTTAAAAATGAAGATTTGACGCACTTCCCGACATGCAGCATGAACAAATCAAGTTTAGATACTTGTTCGTATCAAAAATACGCAGAAAAAATTGCAAATTTAACAACTGAACTTGAAACGAGGTTTAATGATTTTAGTTCCCTCGAAGACAATTTTTTTTTTTTTTTCCCCCTTCGATTTTCTCAATAAGTATTGACTCAGTACCCAGCCATATGCAAATGGAGGTGATCGAGATTCAATGCAACTCAAATTTGAAAGCAAAATTCATTGAAGTGGGCGTGCCTGAATTTTACAAATATTTACCAGCCAGGTTTGAAAATACTCGAAAATTCACATATGAAATTATTTCCATGTTTGGTAGCACTTATCGGTGCAAGCAGTTATTTTCAGTCATGAAAGGTAATAAGTCTCCTATTAGAAACCGTATTAATGATGCTCACCTTGGGTCAGCGTTGAAAGTTATCACTGCAAACAAAATTTCTCCCGAAATAGGAAAGATAATAGCAGAGAAGAGATGTCAAGTATCAGGACGTAAACATTAAATTTTTCTTGTTCTTTTCTATATAAATATATATATATATATATGTTTATTATTGTATTATTCAAAATAAATCTACATTTCTATGAATATTGATTTTTTTTTTTTTTTTTGGGGGGGGGGCCCGCCTAAAGTTAAACCTTGTTTGTTTGGCCCAAGTGTACCTATGAGTTTGACATCCCTGATCTAAAAGATCTGAAAGTTGCATAACAAGTACAACGATACAACAAAATAAACGATACAGTACATGAGCATATTGCGATCATCTTAAATGAAAACCACTTAGATGCAGCATAAAAGAAGAGAATAAATTGTGGATTTTTCAAATGCGAATCATGTTCGTACATTTTGTTTGCATAAAAAGTCTTCTGATATGCCTCATCAGAAGGTGAAACTCATTAAAATGGAAGGTACTCGTAAGAGTCAGAATTCAAGCATGGAAGAACTGCAGCACACCATGACTATGATCTGTATGATAGGAATAAAAAAAAAAAAAAATCAATGAATGCAGAAGGAACATGAAAAATGCATCAGATAAGAAAAATGTGCACACACCAATGACCAAGAGGAGAGACATCTAATGCTTAAGGCCTACTGAGTTCAAAGATAAACATTGTGCACCACAGCTCTGGAATCAAGAATACGTGGCATAGCAAACAGATCACCATCTGCAACATAAGTGATTCTTCATAAAGCAGCCATTGCTTTGTCTTCCTTTGAAAGTACAGCACAGACCCTGTATGATAAATATTTTCTCATATTTATTTCTTATCAAATGCGGTAAAAATATATTTATGGGTGCCCCTTGGTGATAATCGGCAATTTTTGGTGGTACATGGACACTGAGTTTGTGCAACTCTTTGACTTGTTATTTTGGCTTTATGTAGTGGTGATTTTTGTGCCAAAAACGTTTGTAAATCCACATTACAAAAAGCCAAAATAACAACTCAAAGAACTGCACAAACTCGGTATCCATGTACACATCAACCTACTTCAAAAAAAAAAAAATCAGAGAATTGCACAAACTTGGCATTGCACACTCCCTTGACTTTGTCCATGTACACATCGATTTATTTTCACTTAAAAAGTCAGAGGAGCAGCCAGTTCTACACTAAAGCCAAACAAAAAATATGTAATCTCAATAAACTATATTTTAATTTATTTTATTTTTCAAATGTCAGTTACATTGGCCATTAGGCCATTAAACTCCTTGCTTGCCAATAGCACTGAAATCTATAAGAAAAATTTGTCAGTGCTTCACACAAAATTCCAAACGTTCAAAATTCCAAATGTTTCGCCATCACTGCTCATCCACTATTACATAAAACACTCAATGGCGAATCAGCTAATCCAATGCGAATTAAATGATTCTGTAGACAGTCATATCCCATCAATAGTCTAAACGATACAACCGCAACTGTTCGCGGGTGGTCAGGAACAAAAGCTGGGTTTGATGAGAGAACACTCCAAGGCTTGCCCTCACAAGCCTGAGTGCCAAAATCTCTAAAACTACATTTTAAATTAAACAATGAAATAGCACAAAAAAGGGAATTCATCTTAGCACTACACAAAGGAAATATCAATGTTCAGTCAAACAAAATTCCTTCTTCTGAACTAAAATCTGTAAACTGGCATCACCATAAAAATAGGAGTCAAAAATATCCTCCATAGTACCTTATCATCTGACTTTCGACCATACGTATTTCCTTTGTACAAACAAGATACTTATAATGGCTACTAAGTAAACCTTCATTTACACACCAATCAATTAATGCTTTTTTCCCTTTCATTCCAAATCATACAGAAATTCAAATTAATCTTACCACATTCAGCCATTTTACCATGTAAGCCATAAAATCACCAACGTACTTCCTAACCAACATCCAACACTCTTAAAAATCTTTTCCCATCATTTAAATTCCCCACAATCACGCAACCAATTACGTCATAATAGGGTTTCAAAAACATTCAACTAATAAATGAAACTTAGCAATAACCCAAGGAGCACCCTTTTAAATATACTCTTACTTAAAATGCTTCTTTCTATTATTATTTAATAACAAGAAAATACCTCCCGCCCAATCGGTATAGTGGGTTGGAGTCACTCACTGACTGCTGTGTCGAAGGGCCCGAGTTCGAATCCCGGAGAAGGCATGGATGTTCATGAATGTATAGTGTCCGTGTGGCATGGGGGCACTCTAAATATGAGGCATGCCAAAAGTCCTTTCAAGAGGTTGATGGCAGGGAAAGAGAGGTGGGAGGCCCTCAGACCTGTCCCCCCAAAGTGCTCTCCTTCAAAATTGGAGAAGGAACTGAGCTAAATAGCACTGTCACCTTGTAAGGTGCTCAAGGCTGTTGACAATGACAGGCATAAACTTGCACCCCTTGCCACAAGGAATTCTTTGGGCTTCGGCTGACTATAGGTCGAACAAGTGACCATTAGCAACAACAGAAAATACCTACGAGTCACAAAGATAGCCAAAGAAACATGTTTCACCAGTTTACAAAGTCCTCACTGAGCTGGCGACTTTTGATGGGGGGGGAGGAGAATAAGCAAAAAGTACCCAATCCTACTTTTTTATGCAGCACCATATCCTTGTGCAGCAGCACAACAAGGTCTAATTGTTAAAGAATCGCATTACTCACTGAGAAACCAGCCCAGTACCTGGGGTCACAATAGAGATTTTTTTAAGCAACTGAATGCTTGTATGCATCTTAAGTGGCTAGATATTCAATTCCTGGTATAAAGTAAAATATGAATTGCAGGTCTGTATCCAATACCTCAGCTACCATTATATCACTGATATATTAAACTTGTAGTTTTCCTACATCTTCAAAACTTCTGAGGAGCTACTTATAAACAGGACAAGGAATGCCCAAATGCTGTACATAATGCCCAACATTTCCTTTAACAAACAGCATATTATATTTCTAGCTTGCCTACATATTCACCAAATTTTTCACTGATTAAATATTTTTTATTCATGTTGCACAAAAACTGGCATAACTGCAGACAGGCAGAAACAACAGAACAAAGAGAAATTACAATATATGAATTCTGTCAAAATCAAAGGTTCATTGACAGTTATATCCTTAATTTCCATCCGTAATCTATTCCATTCTACGTCCAACTATATAGTAACAGTTATTGCTGACCATGATTACAATGCACAGTATTGATCTCTGCATGTTCTATGCATGTAACCTAAACGCAATTTTATTTTTTAACTTGAAGCATATAATATTTGTAAAAGAAAGGCAGTTCTGTTATTTTTGTTCTCCACACAGTAGCATTTTTAATGCATTTAAAATTTAAATGGTCAAAAATTCTTAATTTAAAATGGCAGAATTTAAAATATTATACAGTCAAAAGACGTTAATCCGGACTCGTCGGGACTTCGGCAATTCCGGATTATCGATTTTTCCGGATTATAGATCATCAGTTTAAATCTCGTAAGATGGCATGCAGAAATTCTAAAATTAAAAATATGAAACCGTAATTTATGAAATAAAGAACAATTATGATCTAAAGGGTATCAAAATTTACAAAAAAAAAAAAAAAAGCTTAATATTTATTTGTTTACTTTATTAAACATTTCTTTCAATGTAAGTTGTTTAAGTTGTTTCGTTTTATGTGATAATACTTTCTCTTTAATTCTATAAACAGACATAATTTCTTGTTCAGTTACAAAGTTCCGCTATTCAAGTCCCGTTAATTGCTGTGCAGAGAATACCGACTAACTTGTCAATCGAAATTTTTTCATTTTCACTAACCTCTCGATCACATTCTTCATGTCTTTATCCATTTTTTGCAGCAATTCCACTTTTTGTTTGATGGACATCGAAACATACTTTCGTTTTGTACCATCCTTTGGAGCTCCAGAATCGGAAATTCTATTTGACATAATCGAAAGTTCAAGTTTACTTTTATAAAATTGCTCTTACAGTCTGCAAAAAATAATAAGCCGCATCCAATTCGAAGATTAAGAAACAACGCAATCATCAACATTAACTGAAATAGATAATTAGATAATTTTAGCTTATACCGTCCGTTATACGTTAAACACGCACGCGAAAACGTATTCTGCGCTTGCGCACATGCATATGCGCAGTCGTAAAAGGTCTTACGGGCACGCGTAAATGCCTATGTGCATGTGTCAACGCGGCGCATGCGCAGAAAGTTTTTAGCTTTCAGGTCTGGATTATAGATCATTCCGGATTATGGGTGTCCGAATTAACGACTTTTGACTGTACTACTGAAGTCAAAATTACATCATTAATAAATTAGTATTAGTCAAGTAAACCAAACAGTGGGCAAATATAATGGTCAATACTAAATGAAAATTTCTGATGTATTTAGAATTTAACACAAAAAAAATAATAAAGTATTTAATGGAAAATACCACTAAAAATACATAACGGAAAGGTCTGCTCGTGTTTGTTAAAATATTATAACACAAAAGTAATTCCCAGAAGCAATTTGAAAATTACAGAAACGAACATACTTTTTAGAGCAATTTTAATTATACAACATGATTTAAAATTCTTCAATAATTTTAACTAGCAATCACATTTAATTTTTCAGTTTACAAAGTTGTGTTAAATTATCAGCATACATATAAAAAAAAATTGTTCAGTCAAATACATTACTTTTCTATACATAGATCATGCATTAATAGTCTTCAATAGCTTCAATTTATAAAATTCCAGTAATAAATTCATAATAAACAATTTAAATAAATTAACCACTCTACTTAAAGAGATAAATTGCATAAAGGAAATAACTCACATACCTGCTGTAATCGAGCCAATTCTATACTGTCAGACATAGCATTAATAGAAGGGTTAATACCAGAAACAAGGGCTGCTACTTCCATACGTCTTGTACACCTAACTGGATAGCCATTCAGGTACAGCCAAGATTTTTCAGTAACACCACATGTTACTGGTTGGCCCCTTTTGTCTTCATTCCCCTTCCCTATAAAACATTATTAAGTCATACTATCTTCATTCTGTTAAAAATACACAAAAGATGTTGAAGTGACTTTTTACATTCATCGGAACTTTTGCAACAAGATTTCTATTATAGCTTCATGTAGGCTTATATATCTTCTAGCATTTTGCTTTGTATTGCTATTTTTAAAGTTCCAAATTCTATTTTACTTTGAACACTGGCATATTGTTTTCTCTGCTGCATTCTCGATTTTGGAAGCCATTTCCTTCTTTCGGTTCAAATGTATGATCTAGAATTTTTTAGACAGCAAAAAGGCAATTATTTGCTTTGTTATCTTCACACAAGTTAAATAACAACTATAAACAATCATCATCCAACTTCAAAAGAAATGTTTCAGCTAATCTCTTCAATACACATTGCTTAGGGAAGTAAAGTTGGCAGTTACACCTGAACTTACATTACTGTAGTTATAATTAGCATAACACAATAAATGAAAATCTCACATACACTATTGGATAACCCGTATTATTATAACACATACTAAAAATCAGGCATATCAGAAACATAAAACATGGACTGCCTAAACTATCTTCTTCCATTATAATTGCTTATGTTTTCATTTGAATAATAAATATTATAATTAATTAAATTACTTTAAAGAAATAGAGACAATGAATAATTCATTTCTTATACTTCTATCCTAAACTTGCTGTTTTAATTACAATCACAATAAATATACAATCTCAGAGAATTGCTATCAGTAAAAAAGTACATTGGCACCATCTCCTTGTCACCTTGTGGAGCAATGCACATGTTCCAGTGTTCCTACCACAAATGCAGCCTCAAAATCTTTTTGTGTGAGTGAGTCCATAACTTTTTGAAATTCACACTGGATCTTAGCAATGATGTAAAAGTACAACCTTTCAGTTACAGCTTTACGTTTCGAAAAGGGAAGATGCATAGTGAGTAGAGCAGGTGCAGATGTGATAACATGTCATGGTTGGTGACAAATTCATTAACAAAGATCATGAACAAAAAGCACTTAGTGACAAGGTGCACTGTCATTATGGAGAATCCGAAGCACATGGAATATATTATTCGCAATTATATGTAATGACATATTATTGATACGTACAACAGTGTCAGCAATATCAACCATTCACGGATATTTGACCTGAAAAAAATTCTCAAATTCGTTCCACGTTTTCAGAGGTGAAGCTTGCAGAAGGCCTTTCAGATCGCCATCTTCAAGGGATGACTTTATGCTTCTGAAGCACCTCTGAAACTCAAAATAGTGAGTAAAATTTATTTTCGAAGCCTGTCGAATGCCTATGTGGTAGATTTGCCTGCTTCAATTCAGAATCATGTCTTAGCTCACTGTTTCAGTTTTCCATCTGCAATGTAATCACAGACTACCACACAACCGAGTACACAAAATTACCACTATAATAATTTACAATATAAACACAGTGATGTTTCTTGGCACACCGCCTTATAAAGACTGAAGATCAGTATAGCTGCTAGTGAAACCTCTGCTATCATTTATGTTATAAAATTAATCTTGGAACTTTTTAATACATCCACATAAAAAAATTTATGAAGAATTACATGTAACATTAATGAAATTTACTAAGAAATAAATTCACTTTTGTGAAGTATGATATGTAGGAAACAAGAATACTGTAGCAGGCCTGCGTCAAGCCTGATCGACGCTGTTGTGCATATGTTTAGCGAGCGCCGTTATGAAGTGACGATATTAAAGGGAAAATGCTTATGGTTAACACTTAAAATGAAGTATTATTAACACAATAATATGAGAAACCAAACAAATGTACTTTTGTCGAATCTTGCCTAACAAGGAAAGAGTTAAAGGGGATTGGTTGCTAAATTCTGCTGAAGCAAATTCTGTTTATTGTTTTTGTTGCAAAATTTTTAACAATTTCAGCAGCATAAAATTGAGTAGTTCTGAATTTTATGACTGTAACCACTTAAATGAGCACTTAAAAGTTCATGAAAAAAGTAAAATATGTTTCCGGAATCTACACCTTTGGTCCGATTTCTTAGAACGATTTCGAAAGAATAAAACTGTTGATTTGTAATTTCAAAATTTATTTTAAAAAGAGTTTCTTTTACTGAAAGCAAAATTTATTCTTTCAATAACATTGCCACGATGTTATTGAAAGAATTATCTATGCCATTCAGTTTTTACACAAACAAAACTCAGCTTTACGTGATTCCAGTAACAAATTATTCGAGAGAAATAATAATTTTTTTAAAGTGTATAGAAATGATTGCCAAATTTGACCCTATCATGTATGTAATACTAATAAAATTCAAACTAAAAAAAAATATGCTTCATTAGCTTGGGAGATAAAATGCAAAATTAAACAACTGGCTTATTCATTGATTAGAAACAATTATGAAATAATATAAAATAAATTATTTTAAATAATGTCAAACAGGCAAAATATTTTTCTACATTGCTTGATTATACTCCTGATGTCAACCATTAAGAGCAGATACCAGATTGTGCGAGGTATCTTAATTTAGGAAATACAGACATGAATATTGAAGAAAGGTTTTTAGTATTTTGTGTTACAACAGATATGACCAGTGAAGGACTAACAACATTCTTATTAAAGACTTTTGAGGAAAATGGTTTAGATCAGGGGTTCTCAACCGGTGGTATGCAAAAGAAACAGGTGGTAAGCATAGAAGCAAAGTATTTTTAAGTGTTAAATTCAAAAATTAAAACCCTAACATCCTAATTGAGTTTTTTCTCCAACACTCATAAATTTATGCAATCTGAGCTTTGTTCAAGAGTGGTTGTGGCAGTAGTACTTTGTAGTGGTGGTACTAAAGGTTTTCAATTTTTGTTTAGATGGTACACGTTTCTCAAAAGGTTGAGAACCGCTGGTTTAGATATTAATAATTTAAGCGGCGAAGGGAACGACAATGGTTCAAAAATAAGAGATAAACAGTTTTCGAGTAATTATGCTCAAATTGTTGCTTTTACGAATTAAAAAGTTAACCTATGTTTAACATAATATGTAACTGCACTTACCTTTTTTTATGTAGAATAACAATAATAACAGGCAATCACTAAAAAAAAACCACAAAAAAGATAAATGCTGCACAAATTACTACGACTGAAACAGTAAACACAAAATAAGGATTATGCAATTTGTCGAATGTGTCTATGGCACCGGCGTCTACCCTTACATACACATCAGCATCACATATTTTCACATTCAAAAGAACACCAGAGGTGAACTCCTGTCCTGGTTATAAACTTTCAGTCAAATAAGAGAGTGTGCTAAGATGAAGGGGCACTCAAAACTGGCAAGCTTGATGATGCCTTAACATAGTTAAATGCCCCAACCCCTAGAGGCGATCCAAAAAGCCGCTAACCTATTGGTCGAATTGACGAGCTAAGAATAAGCTGAGTTGACAGGAATTCTCAGCAACTCACATTCCACGCCCCCGTCCTAGAGGGATGGTAAAAACATCTGCCATCAACAGGGGCCCTAACCCGGAGAGCAGAACGAAGTCACTTAAACACTGCCAGACAGACCGGGCCACCAATCCGGCTGCTAACACTCGTCGTGGTATATAGATGTCAGCTTTAGGTGCCCCCAGGGAGAAACCAAGGAAGGATATGAATATGCAGTTTTGAGGCTCTAGACACCCACTGGAAACCTCAAGCAGTTTAAATGCTCGCTGAATTCGCCAACTCCCCCGACGGGGGTATTTTGCCCTGGACAACCATGATTATCTGATTATATAGCTCCACCACAACCAACGGAACGGACAAGACAGTACCATATGGTTCCTGTCAAGCCTGAACCAGCCATCACAAGCAAAGACTCCAGTCCTGTGAAGACTGATTTTAAACACCCCTGGCTGAGACTGCCTAGGTACAGATCCTAATCGGTAGCTTCCCAGGTTTTACCCGAGTTGACCTCTGGGGTACGTTCAAATACGACAAGAATTTTCCTGTTCAGGAAAGCAGTGAGAGGGACTTGTTTTAATGACTGAACAGTGCTTTTCTGACTTGACATTGTCGTGCGACCTTGCACATATTATCAGCGTGGGCCTGTACTGTAAAATAAAAAGCATACAGCAAAAAGGGGTTTGCCAAAAGTAAACTATCCTACATAAAATATTTTAAGTAATCAAGCAAGTACCTGGCCGAGAAGTCCTCAAACCACTATGTTTTGCATGAAGCATACTGGTCAGCCAACAATGGTATGAATAAAAAGAAAAACCCAAGACACGCAAATTTTGGTGCAGGTCAAACAATCTCAAATAGCAGCAGAATTCAAGCATAGCACTTTTTATAAAATTCTGAATGAAGACCTGAATATGTATCATGTTAAGCAACACACTTTCTGTGTGTCCTGACAAAAGATTAACACGGAGAACATATAATTATTTGGAGTGACATTATTAATGGCACCAACATGAGACAGAACATTTATTAATTATGTCATATCAAAAGATAAAACATATTGCAAGAAAATACACATAAACTCTATTTTTCTTCAAAATTGAAAAATCTCAAATTCACATTTGATTATGATATATCTTGGCAAACAACCTTTTAAAAAATGCAACAAAAAAAACTGTTATAAACACATCGGGATTCAAGCAGGTAATGAATTTGATATTAGTTGGTAAGTCTTTCACCACAGTCAGACCTACCATACCTCTGAAATGAAGAATTAATTAGAATTGAACTCCACTACAAAGAGTTAGACTACAAGACTGAGACACACTGAAAGAGGGTTACATTCTTGATAAAGAAACTACAGAAAAGAAAAATTGCAAGAAAAAATATAATCTTAGAAATGGATTTAAGTCTATATACAAAATAACAGCTCAGAACCAAAAGAAGCTGGATTGGTACACAAAATGGTTAATCATACATACAACTTTGTTGATCTAGGAACTGGCATACATGATCAACATGTAGAAAGAATATGAAGATCTATCAAACAGAATAATAAAATACACAGGGAGAGAAACATCCCCATCACCACATACAATCATATTTAGTAAGATTTACATAGCACCAAGATTGAAGGTGCTTTAAATCTATTCTTAAAGTGATTGCCATAAAAATTTGCCCCAGAACAAAAAGTATAGTTTTTGTTAAAAATATACTTTTGTTCTGGGGCTACTATATATACTGTTTGCTATAAGTATATTATTAATGGTTTTCTGAGATTAATAAAAACTAAACTATGTAATAACATGTATGTATGAAATCATAATTTTTTGTAATTATAAGGCATCACTATTTTTTTCCCTTTAAAAATCATCAAACTGTGTCAAGGCAGTTATGCAAGTTTCAAATATTTATTTCATCAAAACTCTAAAAATAAAAACTTAATTAAGAGTTGCTCTTCAAGAAATTATAAAACAAAAATTCATGGAAGACATTTATTTTGGGAAAGGTCCAACAAGATTGGTTTTATAGGAATAAGCCATATGAAATCATCTGATGCCTAGTTATACAAATTTAAGAAAAAATTAAAATTACCATGCCACGTAACTTCAGCAGTTTCTTCCGAGTCTTTGCCATATGTGACCCAAGCATGATCTTCAGACAATGCCAAATGAACATCTTTATATCCCAAAACTTGAAATGCAGCAACAACAGCAAATGCAACACCAAAACAGTCCAGTTTGTTTCCTAAAATTTGAGAAAAGAAACATCAGATATTCGAGAGACGGGGAGTACATAGCATTGCATATCAAAAATCTTCACATGAAAAATCTTTTTCACCACTAACCTTTTTTAAAGTCTTTAAATCATGTTTTGATTAGATTTACAGTTGAAATTCTATTTAATCATAATGACCTAAACAAAATACTTTGCCCAAACATAATTAATCACGTAAGATGGAGATATCTGTTAAAAAGTTAGGACTGAAAAAAGAAATAAAAATAAAAACAATGTTATTAAAATTACTTCATTGGAAAAAAATGTATATATTTTTAACACTTAATCTGAAGTTAATTAATTTTACCTATTAGATACTAAATTAAAAAAAAAAAAGAAAGAAAAGGAGAATGTAAAAATTTATTTAAGCTTTTCAAATGAATTTTTCACATTCTATTAGTGTCGTAAGATCAACCATGTCTAAAATAGACAAAAGCCAAATGCACAAAAGCCTATAAGGATAGATGTCTTTGTGTAAGATTTTTTATTCTCTGGCCATCAGTCGGACAATCTAACGTGCACCAATTCCATCTTCGCATCACAGTGACTTGATTTTATCCAAAAACTATTTCGCAGAAGTATAGTCTGTAGCCTCTATAAATATCAATTCTTCTTTTGTTAAACTTAGAAACTTGTTTTTAAGAGAGCCATTTCTTTTGATGAGGCATACTGTAGTTTCTCATGCAAAGAAACAGCATAAAAACATACAATTTTAGACTAAAAACAGCATATAGTTCTCCCTTTCTGCTGCCCAGCTGTATGCTTTGGATGGATAACTTCAACTAATTTTTGTATTGAAGATTACTCTATTATGTATCATATTCTTCTATAATACAGTACAGTCTTTAATCCGGACCTCAAAGCTACAAACTTTCTGTGCATACGTAGTGTTTACGCATGCACATAATACCTTTACGCATGCGCATATGCGTTTATGCATGCACATAATATGTTTATGCATGTGCGTTTAATGTATAACGGACGGTATAAGATAGGCTAAAATTATCTAATTATCTATTTCAATTAATGTTGCAGATTGTGTCGTTCCTTAATCTTCTAACTGGATCTGGCTTATTATTTTTTTCAGACTGTTAGAGCAATTTTATAAAAAGTAAGCTTGAACTTTCGATTATGTCAAAAAGAGTTTCCGATTCTGGAGCTGCCAAACGATCTACTAAGCGAAAGCATGTTTTGATGTTCATCAAACAAAAAGTGGAATTGCTGCAAAAAATGGATAAAGGCATGAAGAAAGTGACAGAGAGGTTAGTGAAAACGAAAAAATTTCTATTGACAAGTTAGTCGGTTATTCTCCGCACAGCAATTACAAGACTTGAACAGCGGAACTTTGTAATTGAACAAGAAATTATGTCTGTTTATAGAATTAAAGAGAAAGTATTAGCACATAAAATAAAGCAAATTAAATAACTTACATTGAAAGAAATGTTTAATAAAGTAAACAAATAAATATTAAGCTTTTTTTTTTTTTTTTTTTTTTTTTTGTAAATTTTGATACCCTTTAGATCGTAATTGCTCTTTATTTCATAAATTACGGTTTTATATTTTTAATTTTATAATTTCTGCATGCCATCTTACCTGATTTAAATTGATGATCTATAATCCGGAAAAACCCCTAATACGGAATCGCCGAAGTCCCGATGAGTCCAGATTAAAGACTTTGTACTGTAATTGCAGTCAGTAGAGCTTTCAAAGAAATGTCTTATTTCCCTATTCTTTTCTACATTTCACTCCATACATGTTCGATAGGATTAAAGTAAGGGATAGGATTAAAGTAACACAGAATTTTAATGAAAGGTGTACTTTTAAATCCACTATGCATTTTGCAGCGCTAACTTTTGGGTTTGTTTGATTTTTTTTGTATAACAAATCTCTGATTTCTTCTTGTTAGCATAAAATGTGGCACAGACTTAAGTGCATTTTCCGCAGGTCTACTTTTACCATCTTTTAAAGAATGAAAAACTAAACTAAACAAAATTTATCATTGATTTCTGGTGTCTAGCCACATTCACTTCATATATGGAACTATTAATATATTCTGCAAAACAAGTAATAATTTCAAAATACAAACAATAATTTACATAATGCAATTTTATTTAAAACAAAAAATGACAAGAAACTTCATTTGCCAAAACATCTCAACAAACATTTTGAGTGCCCAAATTATTATACGAGTTACTGATTAACACTTTTTGCTTAAATAATTTTATCACATGGAATATTTTCATGATATTTATTTTGTAACATACAAGGCTTAAAATGAAACAGTATATTAGAAAAAAAAATTAATTTGTGCAGAAAAAGCAGTATATTAGAAAAAAAAATTAATTTGTGCATAAATTTAGTATAAGATCTACGCAAATAACTTTCAAAAATACAAGTGTACGAAAACATATTAATGTAAATAATATTCAGTGTGTTAAAAAATTGATGATGACATGATCAGCATATATTTACCAAACCTAATCCAGAATTACCTGGTTAAACATGACATGTACATGAACCCTCTCAGCATTTTGGACATAAAATTGCATATGGAAGGTAAGCTTTTGTATTCATTACACATGAAAATTTCTGCCACGTATTAATGTGTACGATTTCAGTTTGGATGTATACTAAAAGAAAAGGAATCAAGGTACAAAATGAGAGAGCTGTTTTTTTTCATTATAATCAAGAAAATTGCATTTATTCATAACATTTTGAGGAACTTTGAAATTTCTGGGCTAAACCCATAATGCTCGGAGGATTAAATTAGCCAAAAAAACAAAAACAAAAAAAAAAAAAAAATACTACCTATTTGGCATACGTAAATAAAATTTGCTGGTTGAAAATATTAAATACATTTTTTAAAAAAAATCTGAAGCTTTCAGATTTTACATTACTTACAAAAGGACTTTTTTTTAACGTTTTGTGTGTTACTTCTATTTATTAATTAATATTCTTCGCACATAAACCATAAAATTCAATTCAACAACGATATCGCAAAATAATTTTAAAATAAGCATATGTTTAGAATTTTTTATACACAGTCTCGCGTGCTGAAGATAATTCCCCCCCCCTCGTACAGTGTTGCCATTGCTCGCTTTCAAACCATTAAGCTTGTTAAACAAAAATTTGTTAAATCATTACAAAATATGAAATCGATAATAAAACAAATTCCAAATTACGGCTTCCAGATGCCCATATTCGGTGCAGGTGCTTCATTACTTAATTTCTTAAAATATAACACAGGTTTCTTTAAATATAACATATATTTGGTCGCAACAATTTGAAAATTGAAACGGACGTTTAAAGTTTTTGACTCAAAATGCCAAAACGAAATTAATTGCCCTTCGAGGCCAACGCCCTTTGGGCTAATAATGTTAGCAGGAAACAAAATTACATAAGTATGTTAAAATCAGCATAAAAGATAATGTTAGTTATTGAAAATGATTTCTGATTAAATCTATTATTATAAAAGAGTTAAAAATTCTTGTATGCTTATATAAAGTATTACTTCATTTCCTTTTAACTAGACCCATCTAAACCCAAAAAGCGCTTTCTTTTTTCCCAAGAAACCGCCATTAAGAAAACTGGTAAAGGCATACTACCCTATTGGGAAATCATCTTTAATCAGATTTAAAATTTCCCAGAATGGGTCATGGTTGTTTTGTTTAATTTTATACTGAAACAATTATTCAAGCAAGTTATCTGCCAGATTTTCTCTGTTTCTCTCTTTTTGGTAATTTTACTTTCAAGAAACATAGCATAGAATCACACAAAATAATTATAAATATTATTTTGAGGATTAAATTATGCATGCAAACAATGCTAAGATGAACTATCAATGTGATAGTACAATATGCAGATTGCAGGCAGGAATGAAGGAAAGCAAGAGGAAGTGTTGCTACTTTGAACAAATACATTTGTGGGACTACTAGCTTTGAATTATTATTGCCATTATCTGCAATGTTTACATTTACGAATCTCAGGCAGTGCTTCTAAAATTCATGCTGCAATTTTTTTTTTTTTTTTTTTTTTTTTTTTTTTTTTTTTTTGGCAATGCTTTTCACCCTGTGTACATCTAATTTTTGTTCAGAAAACTGCAAAACAGATGTGTGGTACATGCATAGCTGTCTCATAAATACTTTTTGGTGACACTATGGATTGCCATATAACACTTTTTTTTTTTTTTTTTTTTTTTTTTTTTGTTTTTGTTTTTGGTAAAGGTGAAGATAATCAGAAAGTAACCATTTATCCTTTCATTTAGGAGTTAAAGAGCATCTCCCAGATATATTACGCAGACTGAAAAATTTATTTTGCTACTTTTGTGCTGAATTCCAATACCCATCGTTTTAATGGCTTGTCAGTTGACAGCTCTTCGTCAATTGCGGCTTTTTTGATAAGTTTTTTGGGTTAGAGTACAGAGAAGGGTATTATCAAGAAGTTTCATTTATTGCAAGTTGTTGTTTTATTTACCATCAAGTTGTTTCATTTGTGGTAGCCTGAGTAGTTGAATGTTATGGAAACTCTAATATAACTTAATCAGTTGCATGATTGCAGTAAATTTGTAAGGGCTTTTGGTGTGTGTATTGGTTAGAAAGTTATAATGCTTGTTTTGTAATTTAGACGGTAAAATGGCCGAATGCAGTAAGAATAATTTTAAGTCTCTGCATGATATGGAAAGAAAGAGAAAAAGAACATTACTTGACTGATATGTAAATGAAGGTTTACTTAGTAGCCATTATTAGGTGTCTTGTTTGTGGGAAGGAAATGTGCATGGTCAAACGTTGGAAATGCGTACGGTAAAACGTTGTTATGGATGATATTTTTTACTCTTATTTTGTGAATTTATGTGGTTACACCAGTATACAGATTCTAGTTCAGGTAATTTTAGGAAGTTTTTGGATGCTGTTACGAAATTTTGTTTGACTGAAGACGTGTTAATTCGTAAATAAGGTTACATGGGTATTTCCTTTGTGTAGTGCAAAGATGAATTTCCTTTTTTATGTTATTTCACCGTTTGATTTAAAATATCGTTTATTGACGTTATGTATTTTTTTTTTTTTTTTTTTTTTTTTTTTTTTGGCTGCTCCTTCGACTTTTTAAGCAAGTATAGTTCGATATGTACATGGACAAAGTCAAGGGAGTGTGCAAAGCCTAGTTCATGCAATTCTCTGATGTTTTTTAAAATGAAAACAGGTTGATGTGTACATGGATAAAGTCAAGGGAGTGTGCAATGCCATTTCTGTGCAATTTTGGGATTTTTTTAAGGGAAAATAGATCAATGTGTACCGCCAAAAATCACCAAGAGGTACCCGTAAATATACTTTAACCATTCTTTGATTTACTGGAAATTTTTTCTGACAATAATGATTAGGAGATTTGAAATTTTACGAATGTTATTAATAACCAACAAAGTTCAAAAAGTCAAAATTTACTGCTTTACTCTTATTTATAGATGAACCATTAATCTTTATTCTAAAAAGGAGAGGAATTTTCATCATAAAATAGAAAGTTTTTATTTTAAAACGATTACTGTATGTAATGTACTGCCTCATGGAACAACCATTCAAAAATGTGACATACATTTGCAAATTTTTTATTTTTATAAAATTTCACAGTATTTATTCTTATTAATTACAATATATAATTCTTTGATTTTTCAATCAATAATTTCATAATATGTAAATTAAGATTCCTCCCCCTCATTGATTTGTTCACATGCATAGCTTGCATTTCTATAAAATAAAAGACAGATGTTAAGTCACTATTAAGGACTGGCTGCTTTTATGAGTGTGTGTGTGTGTCTGTGAGTATGGCAAAGCCTCGAGGGCTATCTGCCTAAGAGGAGGGATGCCTTCGTGGAAGACTTTCTAAGGGAAACTGGCTCGTATACACGTTACACATGGGGAAAATCACGAAAACGCCGATGCAGCCAGCCCGTTCGCGGGATTCAAACCTCGAACCGAACTACCAGTGTTCAGCGACTTTACCGCTCGGCCGCTGGTGGGCCAGCTGCTTTTATGAAGGGATACTTATATTAAATAATTATATATTTAGGACTAGCTGCTTTTATGAAGAGATATTTATGTTAAAAGTCCAAAATTTTACATACCACTTTTTTAGTTTAACTATTCTATTTTGAAGTGTTAAAATTATGATTTTTCCTTAAATAATTTTATATTTATTTATATTTTTCAATATCACTAAGCTTCTTTCAATATTTATATACTGAAATAACATTATTTTATATTAACATTATTATATATTAATAATGAAACTGAGTATTTCATAACCACAGTTTTAAAAACTAATGCCTAACTTTCCTCACAATACAAAATCTTTCACGAAAATTAACTACATGTCAATTCACAAGAGAACAATTGCACATCAATATTTCTTCTGATAATAAATCCAGTAAAATTTTTAAAATATGGCAGCAACTTCTCAAAACTTACAACCTAAATCACATTTAACAGTAACTAATTTTACATAACAAAATAAACAAAACAGTTTTGGCGCTTAACCATACCGCCAAATTACGCCAACACATAACCAAATTTAATAACTGCACGATTTAACCTGAGAGAGAGAGTTTAAGCTTGCATATACTAGGAGATAAACAGTAAATGTGTATGAAAGGGATTCCTTTCTACAATTAAAGGTTACAGAAATTGACCTGTATTTCTGAAAACCGCAAATTTGGCGACTATCTTATCAAATCCAACCTTACCGGTACCCCAACGAATACACGTGTTTCATGTAAAACCGGAAATTAATAATTCAGAGGCACATTGAAATCATTATATTTTCTCATACCCATAGAAAATACCTTGAGGAATCTGACGCACGTGATATTCATTTGGTTTATTTTTCAGTAATTTTACTTACCGGTTAAATAACTGAAAAGAGATTGCAGATGTGCGCGATCTTTATAATAACTTCTCGTTAAAGATCCCCAAATAATATCAGACACTTTCTTTACTAATTCACGGGTAGCGCAACGGCTGCTGCGATACTGAGTCAAATCCACTGAACCTTTAATCTGACATTTGAACTTGGCGTATAATGCATCCACCGTGGAAATATCAACCACTGGAAACATAGGTTCAAGGACATTTTCTACGTCACTATTTAAAGGTAAAACCCTGTTGCATGTCAGCAAATTCTCAATGTATCCAACAACAATAGAGAGTAATGCTAAATTAGGTTCATCATTATTCTCAATCTGAGCTTTAAATAAATGAATAACATCTTTCACGTTTTGCAACGGAAAGTGCCGTTTCACGCCTTCAGTTAAAGCCGCCATCTTGATACAATATTTATCTTCAGTTTATACGCAGTTATAAACATAAGTTAGAAATGTAGCCACCTGCTGATATACTATTAGTATAATATGTATCCGACTGAAGTTACTTTGTGTCAAAAAGAATACGACACTTTACACTAATATTTTATTTATAATTCTCACAAATCTGACAAAATTAACATTCAGATGAAATATTTAAGTTGCATTCTGGATAATAAAGCCGGTGTATAATGTAAAATTTGGGATAGGGGGAGAAAAAAGCCCAGCTTGTCATAGGATTTAAGGAAAACTATACTGATTTCAAAATAGTTGATATAGGTCTCCCTTCTTCAAGATTAAAATAATTTTGCATTCTGAAGAACAACGAATGTTATTCCTCATTTTTCGGTGATGCATTCAGAATGATGAGATCGTGACAGTAGGGCAGAATTAAGACCTATAGAGGCACTTGAAGGGGTTTTTTTTTTTTTTTTTTCCTTCTCTTTCTTGGTTTCGGCTCAACTGTACTATACATTCTATGGCAAAGCTATAGAATGCATACAATTCGGGGAGATTTTTTTTGGTGCTCTCTTTCCTCTTGTGGTGCCTTCTTTCCTTGACACCTTAAGCACGTGCTTATATTAGTTAAACCCTTATGATATCTAACGATGGTCCCTGCTAGACGCTACTTTTCTGAGAAACGAGATTCTGGTAGCACTGGTTTGAACGGGAGGATTCCTAGAAACAAGAGCCTCGCTGGAAGCGAAGTCCCGCCTAGCTACGGAAACGATGTACCGGCTACGCGGGATTTTTTGAAACGTCGCCGAAAATGTTTCGGCTGCATCTCTGTACCGCGTAGAGAATAACCAATCAGTCGAAAGTTCTGCTCCTGAAAGGTCATGTGATCCCAATCTGAGCGATAATCGAGTTCAAGTCTGTTTGGCGTTCAAGTCTATGTAGTATGTGAAAATGGTAACCTAACTACGGGGCTTTCCTGGACATGTGCGGGTTCTGAGGATTGTCCTTTTCGACGTCCAGTCCCGCGTAGCGGAAATATAATGTGATAGTGGTTTTAATGGTTAATTCAGCCCAGCGAGACATTCGTGACAGGAAGGCCAAGGCGCGTCAAAAGTCCAGTTACAATGTCCACTACAAGATTAATTTTTCATCTAAATAACTTTCTTCTTCATACCAATTCAACTGAAGGGAAGAGGACTTAAAAATTATTTTGAAGGTGTAGATTTTTAGAGACCTTTTAATGAAACTTCTGCGCTATCAGAACACGCGTAAATTCGTTCTAAATTCGCAGTGTAAATAAAGAGCGAGTAATAATCGATTCATAATAGATAAGTGCATTTAGAGCAGATTCGTTTGATCACGATTAGTATCTTATAAAACAGCTAGTTGCAAAGATATTTGTATAGTTTTCTCCATGCAAAACACAAATATGAGTATGTTTCTGGTGCAAAAAAAATCCACTTTGACCACTGAATATCAACTTCTATTAGCCCCATGTGCTCTTCCCCCATTGCTAAAAGATCATTCCCCCCTTCCTTTCCCAAACTCAAAAAATACATACATATTTAATTAAATTTAGATTCATTTAAATGAGTTTTGTGAATTAAACAAGTATAGAAAATAGGATGAATATCAACGCTTGCATAAAAGTAGCAGTTTATATTCACAAATTGAGCAAAATACTTAACAGATAAATAAGAGGCAGACGGCATTCCCACCCTGAAATTCCATGAAATTTCCTCCCTAGTTGTGAGCCGCTGCTATACACACTTAAGACTAAACACTACGCTTCTAGTATTTCTTTCTTTTTCTTGGCTTTGCCGGATTTTTCAACTAACTCAAACAGACCTCAAAACAGAGTGTTTTCAAAATGCAACATTCCTAATCAGAAGATTTTTAGCATCTTTTCCTCTGATAAAAAACAAATTTTTAGGGAAGCTCAGTAACTGGAAGGAAGCATTCCCCTTCTTTTAAGCCATTTTAATTTATATTAGGTTTGTGTTTTCAACAGCTCACTCAATATACTATAAATTTACAACAGCTTATTAGGGCCTTCATTATAAAATGATAGGTCACATAAACTTTTCCATTATGTGACGATTATTATAATCTAGATCTTATTTTTTAACCCACATTTTTACCAGGCTTTAAAAAATTTTATATCGAATGCTACGAAGGTTTTAGCCTGAGAGGAACGTTAGTCACGAAAGGGATATTAGTCTCAAAACGAAATTTTGCGTAGAAACATTTACAGGAGTTTTATCGCCCTTTTTTATAGTTAAAGAAATTAAATAATAAAGAATCTGTATGAATGTATGCATTTTTCTTGCATTGTGAAATAAAATGATACTTACGGCCATCAAATTCTGAATCACGTAGTCCTCCACTCGAACATGGGCACCTGCAAGCCCGAATTTTGAATTTCGAATTTATTTTATTACCTATTTCATATTGTGTAAAACTTTAATGAATTTTCGATTAACAAGTTAAATGATTTGAGGAGGTTAGAACCTCCATGGGAATAAAGCAATAAAGCATTTTTACGGATATTCTTTGGAGAACAGCCTTCAGAGAAAATGATGCTCACGTAGAAAATAATATAAACAACAACAAATGAAACATTTCACTTTACATTCAAGTCTTTTAGTGCACTATGAGTTTCATTAATTAAATAATTAATTAGATAAGGTGGCTGTTATTTTTTCCCTAACAGCCTCATTTAAATATTTTATATAAATAATAAACACTACATTATTATCTTATAAATAAACTCTCTAATATTTCAAATTTCTTAATGGCACCCATTTACAAGTCATGTTATGTCATGTATTTTACACCGAGAAGCTATGCCCCGCGCCGTGCCAGTACCTCCTACATACAAAGCCATGGCACGGCTGACACTACGTCACTAAAGACGTCCTTATCTACAGACAGTATGGTTGCCACAAGAAGCCACTTATCGCTGTTATTCCCTTAAGAACAGAGAAAATGAAACGTAATCCCCACCTTGCAGAAGGCTTACATCATTCGGTTTTAAATAAATAAATATGTATATCCGATTTGCCCTTCATCGACTGCATTTCCTAATTTCAAATACGTATCTTAACTTTTCTTAAATAATTTTACACTTAAAATAATAGAACAGAAATTGATTTAACATACTTCAGATGGTGGTAATAAAATACATGTTTAAGATCTGGCTGTTGCTGGTTTGTTTTTTGAATATATATTTCACTAAATATCCTCTTAAATATTGTTAAACTAATATTGTACTTATTGTTATCCCCTTGCTAAAAGGCAATAAAAAGGCAATAATGCATAATGATTAAAACAAGTTAACAGTTAATATGTTTTATTTTTGCATATCAGTTTTTAACAACATTTGCTATTTACACGTATTTGTTTAGTAATTTTCCGGTTTTAATCTTATTCACTTCACAACAGGATTGAATTTCGTAACATATAATAAACCTGGAGTCTGATTTGAATACAATTTCTGAGCAATATGAAAAATACTGTTTTTGAGCATGTATTGGTATTGGTATTCAGTGTTAATTTTCAATATAGGAGCAAAAATTTCCATATATTTAAGCTTTTTCAATTAGATACCTATTTTTGAAGAATATGTAATTGCATCTTTCTCAATAACAAAAAAGGAAAATTACAAAAATTCAACAAACTTTACACTTGTTTGGAATTCAAAATTCTCAAGTTTCATTCTTATCATTTAATGTCTGTAACATCCCCTGTGCATATATAATTTTCTTGTAACTAGTATATATTTGTTCCTAAAAATCATTTAATTGTAACTTATCTAAGAATTTTTTAGCAAATGATAAATATGAAGTTGTATAATTGATATGCACTTAATGGAATTTTTTATCAGGATAATCAGCAGAAACTTTTAAAAAATCTAAATAGATCAGATGCCCTGAAATTTTTAGAATTTTAAGGAATAAGAAGTTTTAGTGTTCAGGTAAGATTTAAAATTTTAAGAATAATTTCAGATCTTTATTAAGAAAGTAGCACAACTAGGGTGCAAAACGCATTAAAAAAAGTACTTATTTTTTACCTGAAATTTTTCTACCAGTACAATTATAACTAGAAATAATAGGAAATGACACCATGTATTATAGTGAGAAAAAGGGGAGTAAATGTTTATTTAGGCAAACTTCATGCTACTTACTTTTTATTACAGTAAATCCCTTTGAGAAAAAAATAACTTAGTACAAATGTATGAGGCCTTACAGCTGGGAAGAAATGAAAGTCCTTTTTTATTCTAGTTTATTTTTATAGACTTATCAGATGTATTTTCCCCTGTATACGTACAACTATATTTCTAGAAATTTTATTTCTTTGACAGAATTAAACATAAAATAAAATGAAAATAATATATTAGTAAATATCTATAAAAATTAGTCATCTTGAATTGTATTTGACTACAAATTGTGCATACTTCCTTCTTACAGTTTAAAATTAATGTAACAAACACGTCTGTTTCAATTAAAATAAGATTAGAAAATTTCAAGAATTAGAAAATTTGATTTTAAAATATAAACAAAAGTAATATTAATTGACAAAGTATTTTATCTTAAAAAATGAATATTTCTTTAGTTTATGATGAAAAGCTTAGTATATTATATAACAGACCTTAGAGCTTAGCACTTTTCAGACCTTAGCACTTTTCTATGATAATTGCAAATATTTCTTTTTTTGTGTGTGTGTATGCGTGCATGCATTTTGGAATAGGTGGCAAAGACTTTCACAACACAAACAGAAAAAGCTCCTTTTTTATTCAACATATTATACACATTCTGCAGAAAATATTCATTTAAAAAAATGAATTACAAGTCTGAAAATATTAAGAAAAAATAGGTTAGTTTCACTCTCTTATTTTTTACCTTAAAACAATAACATATTTCATTTCTGCTACATACATAAACTATTTTTTAATGTTTTTAATTTCCGTTGCTTAGTTAAATTATTGCTTAAAAGATTATCAT